TGGGCCGTCTCCGGTGGTCTCCTCCACTTCTGCGGGAAGATCGTAGTACCCAAGGACAAGGACCTTTGGAGACGCATCATCGAGCTCTGCCACAACACCCAAGTCGCCGGACACGCAGGTCGCTTCAAGACCTTGGAGTTGGTCTCCCAGAACTACTGGTGGCCTCAGATGTCTCACCATATCGGCCGGTACGTCGCATACCACGGTGATAAGCCGCAGTCTGGGACAGACCAGGAAACTCCCAGACTGCGGCTTATCACCGTGGTATGACACTCAGAGAAGTGGGCTCGCTTTCCGAGGGTGTCCACGACCACCATGATCACATCGTACCCATGGGCCTCGGGGAGCTCGACGATGATTGCCCCGCTCTACTAGGTGCATCTGGGGATCTAGCTCGTCAAATCTATCTTGCTAGCTCTTTCGAATAGTATTATCGCGTCGGAAGGATTATTGGTTGAGGGTTTCGGTTGCTGAATACAAGAGTTCCGGTTGCTGTTTATTGGGTTTCGGTTGCTGGTCGAGAGTTTAAGGCAGTTAGTTCCTGACTCGAGACAACTCAGAGGGTTTAAGGCAGTTAGTCCTGATCCAACGAGTATAAACTCTCCGGGCATCGTATTGGCGCTTCTCTATTGCTGGGTTTCATCGATAGTACGCTTTGGGGCACAACAAATCAATGTTTTTCGCAAGAAACTCGTATCAACCCTACAACCTTACACATTGTGCCAAGGCTCTGTTCACAGGGGTCTGTTCTCGCACAAGGAGTTGACGATATTTTGGGTTTTGTGACTTTTCCTACTCAACATTATACATCTTTCTCTCTACTTCAAGTGGAGTTTTGGTTGTTTTTGTTGGTTTGGTTAGTTAGAGGCTCATTTGCTTTGTCCCCACTCCGCACTCATCAACGGTCGACGCAGTAGGAGCAGCCCGCCTCTACTACCGGAATGTCTGGCACTGTGGAAGTACTGGCTTGTGCAGTGTTTGCCAGAAGAACGGTTGATATGTCCAGGATTGGGGGTGCACGAATGGAAAAAATTTGGAGGGAAAAGAGTGGAAGAATTCTTTTTGGGTGCAAATAGAGGTATTTGGGCACACTGATTTTAGGCATATGATCGATTAAAACAGGCGCCGTTCATTCCTGAACTCTCGCAGTCACGACGCAGTGACCTAGATTCGTGTAAGAGTGAAAGCAAAAGTGAATGTAAAATCGCAGAAACTCGTTCCAGTCGTGAAGTTCGGCTCGGGGGCTTGAGGACTCGAAAGGCGAAAGAATCTGGTGGTCGGGGGCTTGTAGTTCACTAGCAACTTGCCCTCGGTAGAGCAATCTTGGCACTGGTTGCGAACTCGGTGGTGGTTAGGGTGTGAGGAGTTCTATTAAATGATGATGTAGACTATAAACAAATAACCACATCAAATATTGATGATGGGCGTCCTAAAGCGGAAACTGCCTCATATGGAAAATCTATGTAAGAGACATTCCACACTTCCACAGCGCCATCACGGGACTCTGGAGAAGTACGTTTCCGACTGCAGCTCGCAGTTCATTGCAGACTTTACCCGAGAACTTTGGCGCCTAATCGGCATCAAACCCGCCACGTCCACCGCGTATCACCCCCAGACGGACGGGCAGACAGAACGCGTCAACCAGGAGTTGGAGCAATACCTGCGGATCTTCACCAACTATCAGCAGGACGACTGGGACGAACTGATTCTGGCCGCGGAGTTTGCCTACAACAACCACGTTCACTCCTCCACGCAACAAGTCCCGTTCATGACGGACTCGGGCCGGCTCCCGCGCATGGGCTTTGAACCCGGAGTCTGTGAACGAGTTCCACGACTGGATCGCCACTGGTGTTGCTGAAGCCAAGGCTGCGCTCACAAAGGCCAAAGGCCAAAGAGGAATACAAACGCTACTACGACCGGAGATGCACTCCGTCTCCGGAGTTTAAGGTTGGCGACCGTGTTTGGCTGGATGCCTCTGACATCAGGACGACTCGCCCCTCGGAAAAGTTCTCCCATCGCCGCCTCGGACCGTTCAAGCTAGTCGCGGAGATCAGCAAAGGTGCCTACAAGCTCGACCTCCCTCTGCGCTACTCGAAGCTCCACCCGGTCTTCCCCGTTGTCAAGCTTGAGCTCGCCCAAGACGACCCTTTCGATGGACGCCCCGGATACGACCAGCCCCCTCCGGACCTCGAGGACGGAGTCCCGGAGTGGGAAGTAGAGGAGATCTTGGACGCAAGGGTGCAGGACATGCACACAGTAACCCTGGCTACTGCCATTGGGCGTTTGCGCGCATTTCTGGGCAAGGCCGTGGCAGGCCAAAGCCTGAGGATGTGACCTTAACTGTGACATTTAATGTTTCTTGAATATCTCATTGAATATTACAGATATGACTAAGCAAATAACATATATAGTAACCAAATCACCTTTTCTTCAGGCCGAAGACCTGTTATATAATTAAGGTATACTGTATAACCCCCAAAACAGGAATCTGTCCAAATTGGGTATGAATTGATGTATCACTAGGTATTTATCAAAATGTCTGATGGCAATCAAAAATCGTTCCACATCCATCAAATAATCTTAGATGCATCAACCCCATCAATAAAATTGCATTATAACACTCAAAAACAAATAAAATATTCTTTTTGAGAATGTGACAGATGTCACTGCCCAGAAATGCGCGCAATGCCCAATGGCAGTAGCCAGGGAAATGCGAGCATTACTGAGTGAATCAGCTGAAGGGTGAGGTATAAACGGCTGAATTACTACGTCAGATGGAAAGGCTATGATGTGTCGCACGACCAGTGGGTCCGCTTCGACCGTGTCTTTGCCCCGGAGAAAATCGCGGAGTTCTATCATAAGTACCCCAGCAAACCACGGCACATCGCCTCCGCGACCTTCGACTCGATTCCATTCCGGTCTATGCGTCGGGGACGCCGCATTCAAAGCGGGGGTGATGTCAGGGGAACCTCTCTTTCGGCCCCTTGGAGACGCCTCCGATTCCGGTTCTGATTCCGGTCCGGCCCTCCCTCTCGCCCGCACAATCACCAATCCGTCAACGCCCTCCTAATGGTCGCCCTGGGACCTTGCCTGCGACGCCGCCCAAGCCTTCTGTGCCCAACAGCGGCAGCTACGGACGAGCAGTATATAGTCAGCTCCCTGGCAGGCGGACCCTTAGAGTTTCTTCTCTTTGGATCCTCCCCTGCTGGGTCAGCTTCATTTGTATTTGCTTACCAATGTTCACACTTTGGATCCTCCCCTGCTAGACCTTGAGCTCAGGCCTCCGAGGTTGCCCTTACAAGCACTATCCTAATCTGTTCTTGTGCCTCCCCTCTGCCCGTTCCCACTCTGAAACCCTCCTGGACTTGGCTATGTCGAACGGGTCAGGCACCTGGATAACTAGTGGCACCTAGTTGGGCACCACGATTGGCGTAGGCATACGACGGGGCCGGACCTTCTCCAATGAGCGCTTTGCTCGCCTTTTGCTTTTTTTTTGTCCACTTCTAACCCTCTGACGACAATGACAACTCCTTTTTCGAGCCCCTTTTTCGAGCCCGCCGGCGACCTTGTACTCTGTATGTCTTTTGCCTTGTTACTTACATCTCTGTATGTCCCTATGCTTGTTACTTTCCATATGCACTCCATACCTTATACTTACTTATGGTCTTCCCTTTCTACTTACTATTAGTATGTAAACAGCTAAAGTAGCTATGGTACTTTAGCTTGATTATAAACATTACTTGCACTCTTCCTCTGTGGGGAATGACTCTAATAACTCTTCTCTCTTCTCTTGTCCTTCAACTGAACTTCACTCCACTCACGGGCATTGCTCCGCTCCGACTCCCTCCAGTCCAGTCGGTCTTGTGTTCATTCGTGTCAGGCAGCTACTGGCTTGTTAGCTATGGTAGAAACCCTTCTGTTCTGCACAGCACTTAACAGTTCTATAATATTCTACTGACTCGGTTCTCCAGACATATAGCTATTTATAATATAGATTGGTTCTCCCCTCTTTTCTTCAACACACCTTACTATATTTTAATAGTTGCACTTGACACAGCCTGTTTTTTCACATGGACAACTATATACAGCACTATCTTAAATTCGAAACTAGCATCATGCTCGAGTCCGATTGTTACCAAATGAAATTTCCACAACCAATATAACTTATCCCAAAATTTTAGTTTGAGATATATAATATATATATTTATTTCAATGCTTGATCAAGTTACCAGAGTGAAGTGAAGGTATGTCTTGTAACATTTAAACCTGTGGCATAGCCCCAGCCCTGTCTAGTTTATAATATAGACTGGTTCTCCTCTCCTTTCTTCAACACACCTTACTATGTTTGAATATCCTGTGACTATACTTATAACATTTAAAAAAAGGCAATCACCCACCAATACCAGAACAATAATCCAAGAATGCAAGTTTTTAAACTTGAAAACCTTTTGTACCAGTAGCAGGGATAATTATGTATTGTTCTGGTCAGTTGTAGCCATATCTATGAATAAATGCAGTGTAAATATCAGTTTATAAAAATGTTGTAGAGATAAATTAAGAATTTTATACTGCTGTTTTTTTTCTATAAATTGGAAATACTTTTCAAAAGCAGTGGGATCATTATTCATTATAGCCTTCACTGGTTGCCAAAGCCATCAAGAAATACTACCAAAATGCTACACTACTTTGTTGACTACCTACTGTATACTACTGACTACTCATACTACCTATAAAATGAGCAATGAGCGTGAGGGTGGGTGGGGTGGGGTGGGTGGATAAGTGAGAGCGATTCACATATGTAAACATGAGTTACGTGACAACAGGGGGGGGAAATACTACAGGTAGCTACGATGAAAGGTGGGGTCCACTACTGCTACTAAAAGATGCAGATGCATCATGCAGGAGACCAAAGGGGTGGATGGAGGGGGATAACGGAGGGAGAAAAAAAGGGGGCTAGTCATACATCATGGTTTGATTGAGTCGTGTTTTCGGGGGTCGTCTTAGACGCCATAACGTGCAGCGAGCCGTTCTTGGATCGGTTGGGGGAACATTGACACTTGTGCCTGCCATGCGGCGACATTGTGGTTCTTGAAGCCTTGTAATAGCGTCCTGAACATCTCGTTGAGCTCGGGAGAGGGCTGGTTCCATCGCACGATAGCGTTGCAGAACCAAAGAAGACTCTGCGAAAAACAAAAAATGCATCAGCGATCAAGGATTAGCATCAGGAAAGAGAAAATAACCTTGGCGATGCCTTGTGGGTTATATTGCACAAGCGTACAGAAACCTCTGAATGCAGAATCCTTCTCCTCGTTGTCCCGAATCTCGTACAATGCTTGACACCAGGCTTGGGCAAACTCGGGCAAGTGCGGCGCAACAAGGTCTGGATTAGTCAACCCGATTCGTCCAATGGAAACGGCGGCGTTCTCGTGTAAGCTTCGTGGTGCCTTGGGATGCAGTAGAATAGGAATTAGCCGGACGATGAGCGGGTTGACCCATTGCTTAAACTCGGGGTCGTCTATAATTCGTCAGGAACAGGGCAACGCAGGCGAACAGAGAAGGCGACATACCCCTTCCATATCGCAACGAGACTTCACCAACCGACCAGGCTGCGTTGTTAGAAGCACTGATGAAGTCGTACTTCGGCTCCGGGTCCAGTTGAAGAGTCAGTTCGGCTATGATGCCCGGCATGTAGGGGCGGAGGAGAACAAAACAGCCCACCGCCATGTCACCAACAAGTGCGTAAGCAGTCTGTCGAACGGGCGCTTGCGGGTGTTTGAGACAAGCAGTGAGAAGGGCAAGAAGAGGAGGGTTGCTGCCTGTGATTAATGGTTGCAGCTCCATTCCCATGCCTTGAGTCAACCCGGAGAGAAGATCGAGAGCAACAACGAGGAACGACTTGTCTGGCTCCTCTGATTCCGGATTCTCCTGGTAGGCCTGGTATTTGAGGAGTGCATTGTGGATGATGTTATTACAGCGCTCAAAAACGGGTTGAGCATACGGCAAAAATGCCGTTCCGATGGCGATTGTAACAGAAGCCAAACACTAAAAACATTGATGAACAAAGCTGCAGCGGAAAGAGATCAAAAAGCAAACCTCGAGAAGAGGAATCAGATTTTCGTCGTCATCCTTCAATCGCGACCAACGCTTGGTCAACGGAGGCATCAGGATATCGACATAACGCGGGTTCTGTAACGCCCGACCCACTGCATCAGCAAGGGTGCCAACGGCATTGTATAAGATAAGCATATTCTTGTGTAGTGATCGTCACGGGTCGTGTGACCCGTGGACGGGCCGTGAGGACGGGCCGGTGCGGGTACGGGTACGGGCCTGGTGCCTGGAACCCGCTGGCCCGCAGCTTGGCCCGCCGGGCCCGGCCGACTGGAAGGCCGATGGTCGGCGGAGAAGGCCGGAGGTTGTCACACGCCTGGCGAAGGTCCGAGGAGCCCAGACCTCGTTGTCGAGCAAGAACTCGACATTTGGCAGACCAATGGCGGTCACCTGGCCAGATCTGCCGCATCCTTAGATTGGCGGGCCTCGGGAAAGCGGGCTACCCGCGGCCCGCCCGCTAAACCGCGGGTACCCGCACCCGTAGCCACGGGCCCGGGCCATCGGCGGGTACGGGTACGGGCCGCCCCGGATTTACCCGCGGGTGGCCCGTGACGAACACTATTCTTGTGCTGATATTTGTTGAATGCGATGACGAGGTTTTGGAGCACGGGCTCCAGGTAAGGTGCAAGCTCCATGCCCGCTTCTTCTTCGAGGGTGGCAAAGGCGCTGCAACCAACCTCTTGAACTCGTTTGTTGTTGTCAAGGACCATTCGGAGAAGCTATTTAAACCGCAATCAGTGATAAAAAAGCGGTGAAAAATGAAGGATTCTTACGCCCTCCATCGTTGGCACAAAGTATTCATTCTTGTGCTCCTCGGATATGGGCTGGGTTGTCCAGCTTGCGTAGCGGCCAAGGGTCCAGCAAGTAATAGAACGAATGAGGGGTTTGGAATCCGATAGCATGCTGATGAGATATGGAATGAGAGTCGGCAGATGCGGTTCCATGGCCTCAATGCAACCTAGAATCCGATGCGGTTAGCTTCGATTTACACATTATCACTTGAAATACACACCCTCGGCCATGGCACCTAGCGCGAGAATCCCACTCTCCCTCTGTAGCCAGTCGTTGCTCCATAATTTATCCTTCAATGGGCCCAACAGGACATTGAGCAAGTCGCCACTAAACCTGACCGCTAAGACATCCAAAGCGGTTGCGGCACATTTCCGCAGATTCCATTCAGTGGACATTTCATCGGCAAAATCCTCGTCGTCGAAGTAGTCTTCTTCGTCGGAATCGAAGGTTTCTTCACCATAAGCCCCAATACGGCGTCTTGGGAGGCTCTTTTCCGTCCGCATCGCGTTCTAGTCCGTGAGATTTGCCACCTCCATAGTGACGAGGCTTGATATCCGTTTCCTTATCGGGGACTGCTGCATCTTCAGCATCACCTTCCAGCCAGAGTAGATCGTCTTCGCCATAGACCATGCAATCGAGTAGAACAGGGGCAACTTTGGCGAGTAGGGGATGTAGATGGACAGCTAAATCGGCGTCTTCAGCGAAGGTCAACCAAAATTCGCATGCCTTGAGCGCAACATCAGGAAAATGACAAAAGGTCTAATGTAACTTATTCTACTTATAAAAGACAAAAAAGTTTCAATAAGACATCATAAGATGCATAAGACTCATAAGATCTTATGGGTCTTACAGTGGCGGCGAGAATTGATGCAACGTCCCGTTTTAGTAAACTAGATCAAAGTGTGATTTTGTGTGACCCGCTTGCCTCCGCCCTTGTCGGCTGTTTGCCTCGACGCGTCGTTGGCCCGCAGACGCGTCTGTTGGGTCACAACGCGTTTGTTGACTGCACGAGGCACTCAACAAGCGCCACTTGCCTCAACAACTAGCGCCACCGGTCGTATAAAAGCCAGCAGGGCCCAGCAGCACCCGGTTTTCGCCACCCACATCCCTCCCTCCCTCCCTCCTGGCCATGCCCGTGCCCAGCACACCGCCGGGTACGCCTCGGCAGCGCCGCAAGTACTCACTGGTCACCCCCGGAAAGAGCGCACAGGTCCTCCTGCTGCGGGATGACTTTGAGTGGTCATGGCAAAGGATTGCCGAGCACCCGCGCCTTTCCATGTGCGACAAGTCAGCGCTCTTTCGGAACTACAAGAGTGTCAAGAAGAACAGCGACAATGTGCACCTCGACAAGCAGAAGGGCAAGGCTGGGAGGAAGACATCGATCACAGAGCAGGATATTGAGCGGGTGGAGGCGGCGTTGGAGGCGGGGGACGTTACGGATGGGGCAGATGTGCAGAGGGTCATGTTCCCTCACATTCCAGCTCGTACGGTGCGTGACAATGTGTATCTCACATTGCTTTTCACTGACTCTTTCTCCAGGTCCGGGGTTCTCTCCATCGTCATGGTCTCGTTGGCTATGTCCAGCGTCAAAAACTCCCCTTCACACCTCGCCATTACAACCTCCGCAAGCAGTGGTACGAGCAGTTCCAGTCCTGGACTGACCCCGCCATCTTTGCTCGTGGCGTCATGATTAATTCAGACGAAACGAAGATAATGGTTGGCGGCTCAGATGGGCGTCGTTACTGCCGGGCGGCGTCGTGGCCAGGACCTGCTGGTGCCCCGCAATGTACAGCAAGAGCACCGGCATGGTCGAGGCAAGATGAAGCTCATGCTCTGGGGTGCCATTCACCCTGAGGGCGTCAGCGAGCTCATCGAAGTCAAAGGCCTCATGAACGCGCATCAATATGTCGACATTCTCAAACGCGGTCTCCTCCCCATAGTCGACTACTATGACAGCTCCCCCACCCGCCGCTCCTTCCTCATCTTCCAGCAGGACAACGACCCGAAGCACACATCACGCTTGGCCAAGGGATTTCTCAAGGACGAGGGCATCAATACGATGCCATGGCCACCCGCATCGCCTGACATCTCGCAGATCGAGAACGTGTGGGCCGAGCTCAAGCGTCGGCTTCGTCAACACCCGGACTACCCGACGGTCGCGACCAACGAGAGGCTGCTTGAGATGTGCGGCGAGATCTGGCACTCGGAATCCTTTGAGCAGTATGTTATTCACACCTACAACTCCCTTCCTCGTCGTCTAGAGCAGCTAAAAGCCAATAATTTTGCCTGGATTGACTATTAATACATCCATTGTACCCTACTGTATATTTTCTTGTAGCATAGCATAGCTGTAAATACTAAATTGACGCGTTTTCACTCGATGTAACACCTCTGTGACAAAATTTCCCGATTTGGCCGTTGCATCAATTCTCGCCGCCACTGTATCTTAGCTAGGTCTGTTTCTAATTGCCGAACCTACGGTTTGGCTCCTAATGACAAGGTTGCCATCAGCACTACCGCTTTTGGAGTGGCAGTGTAGATTAATTCCCTTTTTGGGATGAGCAAGTCACATGATATTGTCTTAGTCGTCACCCTCCCAAATCGCTCACTAAACAGCAACTACCCTGCAGAAAAGTGTTTTAAAGGCTTTAACCTCCTTTAAAGGCCTGTAGATAGATTTGGAGACCAAGAAATACAGCTCTGGGCCCCAGACTGCCAATATTCATTATTTCAATCAAAATATTATACAACTTGTCAACTTGGGCACCCCACTGGTTAAGCAACTCAGGACAGATACCTTAGATATCTGGTACAATACTAGTAAATACCATTAAGAACTATTTCCGGGTGATACCAGAGGTGCCGAACAGGATGGGACAACAGGAAAATGTGATTACTTACTGCTTTATTGGGTAATTACACAGTTACCAGGAACCACAGTACATGTCCTGGCCTGCAGTACATCCAGTACAAATGTGTATCTTTCTTCTCCTTCACCCTTTGCTTAGTTTCTGCTTCTCTTTCACGAATAAGATGATTTCGCTTGCTGCCTCATAGTCTTTCAACAGCATATCTTCCGCTTGCAAGCACCCTTAAAACGCTGAAATTTTTTCGGCAGTCACACACAATGGGGACAAACACCAAATTCACTGGGCAAATTAACCATTTTTGGCTAGTGCAGCCCTGCAGGCCACGCTGGAATACACCGAAAATTTTCGGCGGTTATACTCGGAGGTCTCAGATGCCAAAAATTTCAATTCAGCGCCAATGTCACACCGATTTTTGGCGCTGAATTGATTAAAATGCTACAGTACAGTACAGTGATAGTTGACCGAGATAAGTATATTGGTCTGGCAAGATCCAGATCAGGCCTATTAGTTGGCACAGGGCATGTTGTGTGTGTCTCCTTAAAGTAATAGCTGGAAAGTGAAGTAATTGTGTCATGACTGGCTTTGTGGAAGCAGTTTGGGAAGCAGGGTTAGAAAGTGGCACATGTGAGTAACAGATGATGTCATGCATTGCATGATGTATACTGACTTTTAGGAAATTCACTCTGCCCCCATATCATCCAAAATTGTTTCAGTACTTGTTTTCAGTCATATATATATGTTAGCCTAGGCAGCATCAACACCTTTGAGATCCTTTTTGCAGTAGCCTCAAGGACCAGCATAATGAGGGGGACTTGCCCTGGTCTTTGGTTGGCAATTGTAGCTCCAGTAAACAGGTCGTTGACATTCATAGCTTAAATTGGTATTATTTGTAAGTAGTTATGGGAGTACTGTCCCAGGCTGGGACCTCACAGTAATTCATTTGGTATCTAGTATTTGAACATACTTCTGCAGTCTGATTCCTTCTAAAGATTCATCATGATTCATGATCATTTAGATGGTTCGGCTCCTGCCGCTTGCGGCCTTATCCTCCCTCATTATATAAGTTGAATAAGATGAATAAGTTGTTCTAAGACAAAAATAAGATGGATAAAAGACAATTCCTAAGTGCCCATAAGACATTATAAGTGCCTATAAGGCCGCGCTGAGAGACGCTCAGAATGTGCAGAAAACAGGAATAATCCCAATATATTGCAGTCATGGTTACTTAAATACACGATGTAACAGGATACAACTATGAAAACCTTGCTAACCCTTCATTCCCACCCACTGGACCATTCCATTCCGCGCTATGGACACAGGGACTCTGACCGTGATGGCTCCCGTGAGCGAGCGGCGGGGGGTCAACCACTGGCCCGTTCCAGCTGGAAATTTGAGTGTTGGGGGAGGCGCCCTGTTCGCGTCAAACGCGTCAGTTTCGCGCGAAACGGCCAAGAGATAGGCGCGGGGTAAGCAGAGCAAGTGGAGGCCAGTCGGAGTTGGGGAGTGGCGGCAGGCGGGAACGTGTGAGCCGTTGGTCGCCGTTTGCGCGGTATTCAAAGTGTGTAGGGGCCTGCGTAGGATGGTGGAATTTGGGGCGATTCGGCCGAGGAATGCTCTTGTAGTGGCCAGGAAATGGCAAGTGGCGGCGTGCGGGTGCGCGTCGGTCGTTGCCTGCCGTTTGCGCAGTATATGGAGCGCCTGGGTGGCCGAGTAGGGTGGTGGGGTGTGGGTGTCTTCCAACACGGAGTGGAACGCTGCTGCTCGAGAGCTGGCTCCGCGCTACGCAAGAAAGTGAGATACAGGCGCGGAGGCAGACATGACACATACCTTAGTCCATATACCACTGGTGAAATTACGCGAGCTGCCCGTTTACGGCGCCAGCCAGCCACCTTCCCCGTCCCACACCCAATCATCAGAGTGAATGGACAAACAGTTAGCGTTGTCAAGTACCATGGACTGTGACGCACGTAGTTGTCCCCGCACGAGCCCTCGGCCGTGAACCGCTCCACTGGGCCTCCTATGCAGCCTGGAAGACCTGTGTCGACGGTCAAGCGGCCTGGCAGGCTGAAAACATGAGCTGTGCCCTGTACGCCAGCGGAAACACACCTTTTGCGCTATGGGGGAGGTGGTCGCAGGGGAAGAAAAAGAAGCAGAATGTGACAGTAACTGTGGAGCCGTTGATGGGTTCGTGATGGTACGGATCATACCCGCCCGCTTCGTCAACATGATTTTGTCATCACGCTCGGCTGGACTTAGCGCATTTCATCTTGAGTTTCATTAGGTGCTGCATGGTATATGTACAATTCCCAGTCCCTCCTTGTTGTATTAGGTGTTATAAGGCTTCTAATTCCAACCAGTGCATGTGCTCATTGATTAAATAATTAATTTGTTCAAAGAATTCAGCATATTAAAAATCTGTGTAGACAAGTAAAAGTAAATTTACAATGGAGCCTGGCACCTGGAGCTTCACTGAGTAAGTATTATCTATATTGAGTGGATTCACTCTGCATATCAGTGGTCATGACTCATGGTCAACACTATCATTGCAAAAAGAGACTTAGGAAAGATAGATAAGAGCTTATAGACCTTTTATAAGATCTTACAAAAGACATATAAGATGTATTGGATCTTAGAGAAAGTCTAATTCATCTTAGAAGGCACTTAGCCAAGACACATAAGAGCTTATGGAACAAGATCTTTCAAAAGACATATAAGATGCATAAGATGGTTTAAGATCTTATATAAGTTTGTAAGTCAATTAAGATGAAATAAGATCTTCTCTAAGACCCCTCTAAGATCTTGTCATTTTCCTGATGAACGTTTTCATTCTTGTCTTTGGTCGAGTATAGCATGTACTCCGCCACATTGTTCATCTCTGGCATGAGTTTCTCCGGTCGGGCCGCAAGTAGGAGGACCAAGGCCTGGCAAACGTGGTGACGAACGGAAGGGTCATCGTCAGAGGCGCGTTTAAAGAGAGTGGCGATGAAGTTGTCAATGTGAACGAAGAGCGATTGGGCCCCGACGGGAACAAAGTACGATAAACAGGCGACCGCATGGGAGCGCATCTTGGCAGATGGGTGGTTGGCCAGCATGAGGAATTTCGGGATCATGAAATCGAGGGGGCCCGGGCGGGTGCCGTTGATCTCAACGTCCATTTTTCCGGGGTAGTCCTCGCATGCCTTTTCGAGAACATTAAAGGCGGCCTTTGTGTAGAGAAGCACGTTAGTCTTGGATTGTTCAGTACAAGCTATTTAGGGCACGTACCTCTTGTTGATCCAAATCAGGTGAGTCGAGAGTGTTCATTAGCTGTTGAAGGCACTCAGGCCAGTGACGGGGTTCGAGTTGGCCAAGAAAAGCGACGATGTCTTGACCTGCCGCATTGCGAATCATGACCGACTCGTCGGTGAACGCTTGGAGGACCGCCGCCTTGACATATTGAGCGACTTCTGGGGTTGAATTCAGGATGAGGCGGGCATTGTTCTTGAGGAGGTAGCCAGCGATGGTGCGGATTCGGTTCTCTTCTTGTGGCATGTCCATTAGGATATATGCCAGATAGGCAATGTACTCGGGCGCGCGAATAAAGTTGTTCAGTTTCTGTGTGGGTCTTTTCAGCTGGAGTTCAATGGAGAAAAACAGCAGCGGAAGACATACATGGGTGATAGCGCGTTGAACAGCTACATTCATGTCGGTGGATTCGTGGAGCGTCTGCAGGACCTCCTGAAGACCCTGTTGTTGGGGTGCCCATGAAGCCATCTTGAACAACGCGTAAAGAGAAGAGAACTGAACTTGAAAGAATGCCGTGTCACGCCAGTGACGTTTCTGATCAATCCACACTTTTCACCATCCGAGTCATTGCCCGACCCGACTGGCCCTTGCTTCTTGCCACACCCCAAATATCGGAGACAACCCTACGCCTCAGCGCAAGACAGACCGCGCAGGCTGCGACACCAACGGCGGCCAGCCACGTGTTGCTTACCCAAACTCTCTCACCTCCACCTCCGCTCGCTTCCCCGTTGCTTCCCCGACCCGCCCAGCCGCCCCGCGCCACATGACAGCCTCCCACAACTGGCGCGCTCGTTCGCCGGGCTACTGCTCAACGGCAAGAGCCGAATCAGTCGACTCGGACTCTCCATTGCTAAGTCATGCAATCCGCTCCAACCCCTGGCGAACTGCGTCTGTCGCTCCCGCCGCCTTCAAACACCGCAAAATCAATACTAGAACGAACAACGAAGTCAGCGCCAATCTCGATTCTCGATTCTCGAGCAAGACATCTGACACCCACCATTGCGAGCGGGATATGGCGGCCAGGCCGTAAATGCGGCACCTGAGTGAGCTCCGATATTCCTTACGTAGTACCTACTTAGGTGTATTTTTTTGTAAGTAATAAATTGACCTAAATGGCCTAGGGAGCTGGAGTGTGTGCCATCGATAGAGGCTGCCATCCTCACTGAAATGGAGCTCCACAATTACAGGGAGCTGCTTCACTCGCAGAGAATTTCATTAGACAGAAAAACATCGCAAAATTGATTCTAGACACACTGTATATACTACATTTGACTACGGACACACAACAAGATAGCAAGATATCAAGATACAAGAGCACAGCACATGGAAAGCAACAGATATTTCAAATTTTGTTCGCCTCGACAAGCAGTCCAAAAGAACATCATCCGCAACTCGTCATTCAACTTCCCAAGCCAATAGTTCTTCTGCGCTTCATCCATCGTGTCCCACTTTCTGACGAGAGGTTCCAGCAGAGCTACTGACGAAGTGATTCCCGTGCTGGAGCCCGCGACAGGAGCGTGTGGGGGATTGGGAGCTGGAGGACCAGTCTGAGCGGTCACGGTCGATGGGCCAGCTTGAACATTAGTTGGCGCCCGAGAAGTCGAAGGAACAGCAGCAATTGGGGCGCGAGAAGTCGATGCAGTGCTGCTCACCGACGAGGTGTTGGCAGGCTTGATGAACGGGGGAGCCTCCTTCTTTTGAGCTTGTTGCCCCAATGTGCCTCGCGGCTGAGCTCCCAAAGGATGCTCGCGACTTGCCTTGCCAGCTGCTGCTGAACTGCGTTGCGAACTTGCTGCCAACACTTTGGCTTGGGCAAAAGGAGGGCGGTCAACATGCGAGCGGTTGGCGGTGGGAGGGTGGCTGCTCAACGCTTTGGGAGCAGGAGGCTGGTCGTTGCGCGAGACATTGTTTGCACGTGCTGGCGAGGGAATCTCGACGTAGTCCAAGACTTGTCGTGCGCGCTTTGCATCGGCCGGAGCGCGCTGAGGTGGCGCTGTACGTCTTTTGAGGCTGAGCTTGCGACCCATTGGCGAAGGCGACGAGTAATGACCCGCCTCGTTATCGGTGTCCTCAGACTCGGAGGCAATCTTGCTTACTGCCTGGGCTGACCGAAAGGCAGGTCGAGGAACTGGTCGAGGGACAGGTTCCAGTTGCTGCTCAACTGGAGAAACAGCTGCTAAGAACTTCCGACCACCACCAATCTGTGCTGGCGGAGGCTCCGCTTTGGATTTGGCGGCACCCTTCTCCACGGCCTTCGTGGCCTTGCGATTCGCAGGAGGGGGTCGAGTGCCGGCTCGTGGAGGATTTTGGCGGGTGCTCTTTTGAGGCCAGGGCACAAATTCGCGATCCGCTTCGCCTGTCGCCGTCGCTTTCGGCATCTCCCATCCGAATGTCTCCATCCACACCAACATCAGCATCCATTTCCGACTCAGTCTCCTGTGCCTCTTCCTCGCTCGACGAGTTTTTTGCGAGATTTCTTTCCCCGGCGGGTTGTAGTTGCCGTTTCCTCTTTCTTGGCCTTCGGTTGCCGTTTCGATTTAACCATGGGCACACTTTTTGATGGGGACCTTCCATTGGTGGGGTTTGGGTCCTCCTCCAAGTTATACGACGCCAGCCACATTATGCCATTCGCATCAAGATGCTTCAGGCCATGCTTTTGGCTCGAACGCCAAAAGCGACGGAGGGCCTCAGGATCCTTTGTTGCTGGTGGCGTTCGCGAGTAGTCATGTCGAAGTATTACGAGTAGATCTGATGAATATATTAGTTTTGGATAAAGAAAGCTCGAGAGAGTAGTCACTGGATGTATCCAACACAGTGGATGGAATCTTCTCGATGCGGAGACCCGCCCGAAGGATGGAGGCTCCTCGCTTCCAGTGCAACCGTGAGTGCCTCGCGACAAGTTTTCAGAACTTTAGCGATTCCCTTTCCCGCCTTGACCTCGGTGGGGAGAAGAGCTCCAGTGGGGAAATTGAGGATGCGGTAGTGATGTGCCGCGAGGACTTGGTGAAGCAACGCCCATGCGAAGAGGCCTCGGTTGAAGTCCCGATACACATCCACGCCAACATCCTCCAAGCTTGCCTTCGCCATATCTTCCCGCAATTGGACAGTTGCTATGTGTGCCTCACTGCTCTTGCCTGATTTGCTCTTGCCCTCCTCCTCATCATCACTGTCGGAAGGAGGGGGAGCCGCTTTCCCCTTTCCTTTGATGGAGGCGGTGGCGGCACGAGAGGTTGTCGTATCGATTTTGCTGGAGGCGACGCGAGATGTACCGGTTTTGCCCGATTTGCTCTTGCCCTCCTCATCATCACCGTCGGGGGGAGGGGGAGCCGCCTTCCCCTTTCCTTTGATGGAGGCGGTGGCGGCACGAGAGGTTGTCATATGGATTTTGCTGGAGGCGACGCGAGATGTGGTTGCTGCAGTACCGGTCCGAATGCCGCCTAGTGCTTGTTTGAAAGCCGTTGCAACTGGAGCAAGTTCATTTCCACTATACGATATGTGAGATAAAATTGGCGTGATGTCAGGAAAACACTTACAAAGCGATGGACTGATATAACGCAACGATGTCGTTGGTATCACATTCAAGTACTTGATGAATCTGGAGAGGATTAGGCAATGAATTACATATGAAGATGTTATTGAACTTACGGAGTTCAGCTGATTGGTCGCATGCATCCATCCCAAGTCCTTGTCTTGATGGATAATCGGCCCGACAATGACAGTCATACCCTGGAATCCGAAACGCTCAGCACGATCAAGCTAGATGCCAGATATGTCAGTACATTCAACGGAAGTAGTGAATTACACAGACCGAGGCTTTACAATCCTTCGTGATACGCTTGAATGCGGCTCGACGCGACTGCTGCGTTGGCTGAGCAGCATTGTTGTAGGCCGAATATATTTGAAGGATGTCGGAGGCTCTATCACCTTTCTCGCGGCAGAAGGCGTCGTACGCACGGGAGACGTCGGCATTGGTTATCTCGAAGTCGCCGTCGATCATTTTAGTCGCATCTTGAGGGTCAGGTATTTGGGGGGGAGTGAAGCCTGGGTCGATGCGCCGCATTTCAGTCAAACGGTGTTTTGGATCAGTAATAAAGGTCTGGTAGACATTCCACAGGTTCGTAGAACGGGTAGAGGTGCCTTCGAGCATTTTGATGAAGATATCTTCAGTATGAGCGGTGTCGAGGCCGGCCTCGTCGGAGGCTCTGGCAATAAGGTCGGTCAGTTCCGCGAATGCAGAGTTGAGGATGTCGTTGCTCGTTTTGGAGCGTGTGCCTTTGGGCTTATGGATAGGTGGTTTGGGAATGGAATGTTTGTCGGCCCATCCATCGGGTGCTGGTGGCAACGAAGCCTCTCTGAAGTCACCTTGAGCATGAAATTCGTTGAGAGTCCCGCGGAAATTCTCGGGCGGAATTGCCTTGACAACACGTCTTTTTGAGGGCGGCGGCGGTTCCGAGGTGGACCGCGCTACGGCATAATCTGCCCATTGAACTGAGCGAGAGCGTGGTGGAGGCACCGCTTCGAAGTTCGTTGGTATTTCACGGTCTTCATCGTCGCTATCCTCCTCGGGGATGCGAGACAAAGCAACGGAGTCGACATTCTTGTCCGAGTTAGGTGGTGGCATCGGGGAGAGAGGCAACAGTTCATCGGAGTCGGGTTTGAGTGGCGGCTCCTGAGAGGGAGGAAACGGTATGTCGCGGGAGGGAGGTGTCATTAGGAAAAGAGGAGGAGGGGGTGGTTTGTGCTTGTCTTGCTTCAGATCATGTCGAGCTTTCTGCAAGGCCATGAACTCCGGGTTATCCGCACCACGTCGAGACAGCGGGATAGTCGAGCGCAGTCTAGTGGCGCGCTGATCTTCAGGTGACAAGGGTGCTGGATCACCCCGTCCACCGCCCTGCTGGTCGTCCAGGCTCATGTCAAGCTCGTCGTTCTCATAATGAGAGTTCAGCGTCCTCTCGGCGAGGAAGGGGTCTTGCTCGACTCCGTGTCCGCCTCCTTGCTGCTCCAATATAAACTCTTTCGTGAAGATGTCGTCAAGAGTTGTTGCGCGTGTTTCCTCGATTGTATCGATGGTCGGGAGGCTGATGTTACCCGTGTCGTCAAGGGTGGGGACAAAGTAGTTAAGACCAGATATAAATTTTCGTCCACCTAAAGCGGGGATTTCCGAAAACGCCTGCGAGTTCAACGACGCATAATCGCCGTCGCCCAGCAGCTCAGAGTACGAGTTTGAGGTGGATGGTGGAGGTTGAGTGTCATGGACATCGGAGTTGGGTGTGTGAGGAGGTGAGTTCCCGTTGTAATTCGACATCGTTGTCCTGTCAACAACGATGAGAACAGGAACGGAGGATCAAAGAGAGTACATACTGTTCAGTCTGATTGAAAATAGATTGAGAAGCAGGCTTGAGGAGGAAGTTTCGCTCTTCTAAGAATGCATAAGAACTCGAAGAGCGGCTGCTAGAGCTACTGACCGATGTCGAGCGTTTTGATGGGTTGAGCGCCAGAAGCAGCAGCTGACAGCGGAAGTAGCTGGAGAAGAGCCAATCCTTCTGAAGCTGATCAGACATCTAGAGCAGAGATGCAAGGCCTTGGACTTACTTATAACAAGGTAGGAGGAGGAGGACGAGCACTGTCGCCTCCCAGAGCGGGCGGCGGCGACGTGGCTCCTTTGGGAGGCACTCTGAGTGGTTGTCAGTGGCCAGTTAGTGGGGGGGTAAGACAATGGGAATACCTGTATTCAAAGCTCGGCACAACGAGTGAGACGAATCTTCGCGTCGAGGAGGAAAATTGTTGTTCGAGAAGGTTGAGAGTGAAAATTTGCTGAGCACGTGTGTGGCGAGCGCCACCGTTTTAAGGAGCAGAGGGGGGAGGAGGCCATGGAGGCCGTGGATGGCCTCAGTGGTAGTACCGCCGCCACCCATTGCGTTGCTGAGAGGTTAAGTGAAGCGGTCACTCGTGTGACATCAACGAAGGTGCCTCCCTTCCAGTGCTGATTCCAAGTAGAATCAGCGCTGCTTCTACGTTTTCCATGCTCAGACAAATACGGTAAGCAAAAATATCTGTTTTTATTGCTCATTGTCTCAAGCTATCAGCTTTGAACAATACCACCCAACCTGAACGAGCCTCCGGCTTCCCGAATAAACTTCGCACGGTCATAACGCATCGAACGCTCCGACTTATCATGCCAAACAATACAGGAGAAGCATATCTGAAATTCGACCTCGACGAGCCTCCCTTATCCGACCTCGAGGAGCCTCCCTCGCTCCCCCGAATAAACTTGCATCGTTGTATATGGCATCGAAATCTCCTGACCATCACGCCAAACAACGCAGGAAAAGCCTGCCTGAAACTAGGTGCGTGTCCGAATGTCTCAACTTGAAGTCATGCATCTTACCGCAACAGACCTCCCGCTAGCTCTCTCCATGCGCCTCCCTCTAGCTCTTGGGAGCTCCCCGAATAAAACTCGCATCCTCATCTATGGCATCGAACTCCCCGAACATTGTCCCAAACCATACGGGAAAGGTTCATCTGAAATCAGGGTGAGTGTCCGTCACTATTCGTGCCCGCCACTTCGCGTTCCGGCAAAGGCAAATAGAATGAGCAGTAATATCGAGACTTCAGATCACTCACCGTTACGCAGGTTTATCTTCTACTGTCACCACTTACTATGGGTCGGCGCAAACTATACACCACCAGTGAAGAACAAGCACAGGCACGACGGCGCCACAACCAAACATATAACCAGAGTGTGTGGTATGTTCTTTCACTGCCAGCGATTATATTCTTCTAATTTATCAGCAGCGGCCAAGCCGTCCGTGCTGAACAAAATGCATTGCGGAATCGGCGCAAAGTGGCTCTTCACTCCGTCTCACGCTTGCCAGCTCTCAGCGACAACATTATTGCATTTTCGCGCCATTCACTTCCCGAAAAAGAACCATTATTCCAAGACATCATTTCGACTCCCATCTCTCCTGATGAAACACTGGTGGCTCCCTGGAAGAAAACCCCTCCCTTTGCCATCGACGAATCGACACTTAACATGGATGACAAGGCCCTGCGACTCCTTGCAGTCACCCTCCATGCCATCCGGTTTCGCGAACAATCCCTTCGTGACTTACAACTTCAATCTGACGTAGGAAAATTGGGGTTCAAGAAGGTGGTCGATAAGTTGCGGAATGAACTCCGGTCTCGTATCATTGCATGGCACAATGTGAAATCCCTCGATTACAATCCTTTTACACACCCTTGCAGCTTTGCAATGTGGCGACACTTCCTCCAATGGGAGGCACGCAATATTACACATCTGTATTACCTCCGATTCCTTCCTCCAGAGGCTGCCTAGAAATTTATGACTGATTTTGCTCAATTGCTTGACTGTCTGATATTGTTTCAATTTGTTCTATAGATAATGTTGTTCAATTAGAGAGAATGAGCTGTACAAAAAGAGATCTAATAGTTCCAATTTGCTCCTCTGTGATATCAATAGCACTGTACCCTCTCAACACAGCTGAGATCATGCAAAGGACCCAGATGCCACAGTCATAACCATTGTGTTGTTGTGCTACTCCCTGAAGCCAATTTGAATATATTAAGAGGAGGCAGGAGGAGGCTCTCTTACCATCTCAAAGAGAGGATAAGCAATCCAAGGCTTTGTCTGGTGTATGTGGGCTAGGGGATGGTGATTTATTCTTGCCAACCTTGTCATTGCAGCCAAAAGCTTCATGACATCCTGCAGGGGGGCATCAAAATGTAATATCTCATGCAAAATGGATACATACTGGAAGATCAGAGCTCCACCCATCTAGTTCTGCAAAACTGTCATAAAAGAACAGCATCTGCTCCTTTGGAGAAGCAACTGCAAAGACCCAATGTTGTTGTTGGCGTCGATGGATCGGAATTAGCCAGAGGTCCTTGTCCCAAAATTCTGTTGGAGCTAGATGATGCCAAAGAACAGAGTCATTGGCATCATACTGAACTCTATGGAGGTCAAGAGTACTCAGCAAAGCACAGGAGGTGTTAGAAGGAGCAAAATGCTTCATCACCATAGCTGCAGCTCCATTCAGACAGAAATTGTTGAGCCAGCGAGTGCGATGGCGGAGGCGGTCAAGATCTGTGGAGTCGATATGGAGCTTTCGCCCAACAGTGTCTACAATGGTTCGGGAGCCTGTCGCACCGGGTACACTAGGATTTGCTGCTGTATATTGCTGGAAGTCATCAAAAAGATGCACATCAACTTGCCGGGGAGGCTACAAAAATTAGAAAAAATTAGACCAACTCCAGCAAGTCAATAAGAGCTTACTGGCTGGACCTCAACCCTGAATGTAAATTTCACATCATGCTCATCTGACTCCTCACTATCAAAAACGAGTGCCTCATGAGCATCCATGCTGCCCTCCACAGTAATGTCCAGACTAGGCTCCAACTCCTCTGGAAGTGAGTCAAATGGTGAGATTTCAATTTCCTCATCAGCTAGTTCATCAGATGCTTGGAGGTCAATTCTTGTGGGGGTAGGAGCAGTATAATGAGAGGGTGTAGGAGGAGGAGGGGGGTGGGAGGGGGTGGGAGGAGGAGGGTGAGGATGAGAGGGTATAGGCTCTGTGTGCTGAACCAGATGGACAGAGGATCCACGGAATGCTTGTGCCCAAGATGCTCGTAGAATTGATAGATACTCTCGCCGCTCATGGAGATATAGCTGCAGAAGAGGCTCTACCCACCAATCAAATCCGACCTAAGCCACAGGCAAACCTGAACAACATACCTTCAAAGTGGTCCAGAGCATATGTTAGGATTGCATCCTCATGGTCCGAGCCGTAGTGGGAGTATTTTTGAAATATCCCCCGGTTGTAACCAGGAAACCCGATTGAAATATCCCTGGAAATAACCAGGACCCGGTTGTAACCAGAATTTAAATAAATAATCATTTAAAATAATGGCCATCAGCAGAATCAAACCGGCAACCATGTCAGTGTGATCCGGAATATCTGCTATTAGACCAAGAACGAATTGAACTGGATGCCATTTATAGGCTCTCCTCCTTACCCTAATCTCCCCGGTCGCGACGGCCGGGGTCTTCTACCCCGGACCCCGACCAGGGCTTTGCCCTGGACCCACCCTGCCGGGGGCAATAATTATTTTTTTCTTATTTTTTTTCTTATTTTTTTTCAATAATTTGCTTCTGAATAAGGTCTGTGCATACTAAGTTTGCGGCGCCGGCCGCAACGGCCGGGGGTTTTCCACCCCGGACCCCGACCGGGGCCTTGCCCCGGACCCCACGCTGCCGCGAGCCGGCGCTCGCCGCGGGGCCCGCTGCGCGGAGCCGCTGGAATCAGGGTCCATCAAATGAGGCTGATATCAAGCATTCTTAGTCGATCGGATTACTCCTGATGATGTTCGATCACTCGGTCGTCCGTTCGACTCTCGCTTTTACCATTTCTTTATTTGGTTATTTGTTGCCGTTTTCAAATGTCCTGGTTATAACCCGGCCTGGTTCGAGTCGGGGCTGTTTCAATCCGATTCCCTGGTTGCCACCGGGTACTTTTCAAACGCACTGCCGCGAGCCGGCGCTCGCCGCGGGGCCCGCTGCGCGGAGCCGCTGGAATCAGGGTCCATCAAATGAGGCTGATATCAAGCATTCTTAGTCGATCGGATTACTCCTGATGATGTTCGATCACTCGGTCGTCCGTTCGACTCTCGCTTTTACCATTTCTTTATTTGGTTATTTGTTGCCGTTTTCAAATGTCCTGGTTATAACCCGGCCTGGTTCGAGTCGGGGCTGTTTCAATCCGATTCCCTGGTTGCCACCGGGTACTTTTCAAACGCATTACAGGGAGGGGTGATGGTCCAACCACTGACGCATGTTGTTACGTTCCAAGTTTAAGTGAACCACCTCCTCCTGACAACGATCAAGAGTATGGAGGCTCCGAATACCTTGTCGAACATCTTCATCTTCCAGCCAACGCGGTGGCCGTCCCTCTGATGGTGTAATCCAAACATCCTCATGCAGTGACGTATCCTCTCGGAGTGCGCTAAGTTGAGTTGGAAGTGGTCGTGGAACTGGAACCTGACAGTCTACAGGCCGGAGTTGCTCAAACTCAGCACAGTAGTTATTAAATTTCTTAAGAGCCTTCAACAAAGCTGGTTGGCGTTTAGTAATGGTAGAACGAGTTGCTTGATACAACTTTGTTCCTAACCTTTGGTTAGTGGAGGCTCTTAAAATTGATCAAAAGATACCAAGTGGCTCCCGTCGGCCTGAAACTGCTTGGTCCAGTGTCTCCCACTCTTGAAAAGACCCAACAGCCTTTCTCCGTATACTGATCTTGAGGTCACGCATCATTAGAAGAAGACGGGCAACCTCTGGTGGGAGGCCCTCCAGTGCTGGGTAGATTCCAGAGATGTTGAGAGAGGCATAAAGAGCCTCCGCTTGTTGTGAAAGCTCAGAGTGTGTTGTCTCAAGCTGGCGTAAGAGTTGCTTTGTGTCATTAGCTGATCTGTCGCCAGGTATCGTTTGGCGAACTTCAAGGATTGACTTTTCCACCAGATCAATCTGGGCTTGCAGTGCAATCACTTTGTCCAGCTCACGCTGTAAGCGCTTCGGGGCATCTGGATAAAAGAATATTAGTAAGCTGATCAGAGCAAAATGGAGCCACCAACGTCTACGAATAGCACTCTGTGCCAATCTTTGGGCCTCCCACTCTGTGCGAAGCTCTGAAATCGGAACTCCAGATCGCAGAAGAGTCATCCGGGCAGCTTTATACTTGTTTGCGCAGTTCTTGTCTTGGCGAACAATCCAGTTTCCAAGGTTGTAAAAGCCATCTTCATTGACAAAGGCAACATATTGATCTATTGTCCAGATCCTTCTTGAGTTCTATTTCCAGTGAATAAATGAATAGATGATAAATATAGAACATACCCATTGCCCACGGGTGATTGGGATCAGTTTTCGAATACGTGACCAGAGGCGCTCAATGCATTCATTGTCAGTTAAGCCCATTCCAACAACCATCCGAGGATTATACTTCAATTGACAGCTCCATTCATGTCCATAGGCATGCATGGCATTGAGCACAAATGCTACACGCTCCCGAACTCCAGGATGAAGGATATCATACTGAAATCATCAATAAGAATTAGACAAATAAAGATATAAGTGCTGACCAAATTAAGCGACCGATCTACAACACAACCAACATCGTATGCCTGCCAGAGGGTAGCCTCCGGAGGGAGATGGGACAGAACCTCCTCCAGCAATGCAACAATATAGTGGTGTTGCTCCCCTGGTGTATCAATGTTACACGTAAAGAGGACCTGTGAATGACGGCAGGTAAGGGCAAAGATGCCGCTTGCATCATATCGTCTTGGGTCTGCCAGCCTTTTCTTTTCGTTAGCAGCACTCCAGTTTTCAGAGCACCCATCATCTGGTACTTGGACCGGACGCCTCCTCGCTTCATTCATCCGTGCCTTGACAGCCTCAATCCTCTCCTTCGAGACAAAGAATCGAGGGTAATATCCCGTTGGACCATCACCTGCCGATCGAAGATGTCGGTAGCTAAAGCATGCATCACCTGCCAACTGGACGTCCCCACCGCTGTTTAGCAACTCAGTATAATAGATGACATTAATGACGAGAAGACCTACATATTCAAGGGGCGTCCCCATTCTGTTGCACTGAAGCACAGAGGGCAGCGTTCACGCAGTATTCGGTCTGCACGACCAGGATGGAGTGCTGGGCTATTTATTGTGGTCTGTGTAGCGACAGGAGGTCGTGGTGATGGAGCCGGAGGTGGCGGCGGTGGCGGGCGGTGGTGGCGGCGGCAGAGGCGGCAGCGGAGGCAGTGGTGGAGGCAGCGGCGGAGGCGAAGAAGGCAATGGAGACGTATTGTTATCTGTATTGAGGGAAATAGCCTCTTCTGCGGCTGCTAAGAGTGTGTCCATGCGCAATTGCAAGCGGTCTCGTAGGTTGCTAGACCACAATACAGCCTGTGTCAGGCTTTGTCGAAAAGGATCTGTCGAACGAGCACCCGGCTTCTGAAACTAGCATTAGATATACAACAATGGAAGAAATAAGTCTTACTGTGTTCGATAGGACATGATATCCCCGACGCTGATAGACAGTTCGAAGCGCGTGAGCCAGCGCTGTGATTGCATCGCAGGACCGCTCAAAGACAGCCCGGTAGAGCTCCAGTAAGTCGATTGACATGCCAATGCGAGGCCGGCGTGGAGACGCAGGGAATACACCGTGTTCGACAAGAATGGCGCCCAAAGATTTGCATGCGCAAGTCGTGATAGAAACAGATTGCATGTCTGTTTCAGCATTAGTATAAGTTGAAACTCAACGATGTATTGACGCACGAGTGGGGTACAGGCACTGCACAGTGCTGCGTGTCGATGAGACGCATCCTGATCCGCAAGGGTGGTGGATGGAGGCGACAATATGGGAGGGTGGTGATGCATATGTTGCGGCATGGAAATTGGCCCAAGGAGCTTCCAGCTCAGCGAGAAGCACGTTCCAAGCGCCGAGAAGACTAGCATTCGAGCTTTGCCTGGGGTGCGAAGCCCATGTGGGAAGCGCCATTTGAATTGGCGTCGTTGGCGCGAAGATTGGAGGCTCCGCTGTCCCTTCAGCCCCCTCATCCTCCCAGTCCATTCCGTCGTCCGCGGCCTCTTGGTTGTCGATGGGAGGTGCATTGTTGTCAGGATCAGAGGAAGTGTCGCCGTTGAGCAGGGCCATAAGTCGAGATTCAAGCGCGTGTTGACGCGCCGCTTGATTCCGAGTGGGCTGAATGACGCGTTTCATGCGGCCTGTGCGAGCGCCGAAGCGGGCTGACGTGATATTCACCTGCCCCGCGGGTACGAGGCTGCGTGTGCCGATTGGAAGGGCGAGGATTGGGGAGCGCTCCATCCCGCGCCATGGAGGAGGAGCAAGAAGCAATGCGGCGCTTCGTTCCGGGATCGCCGGTGGTAACGGGCTTGTCACGCTCCAGTGGGAACGGGCCTGGTAGGTGATTTTATTACTTACAAACTAAACTACCTAACAGGTCTTACGGTAAGGGAGTGGGGAGCTCCCTGGGGTGAAATGCGGATGAGCATGCGGATGAGCATGCGGATGGAGGGGAGGAGATGGTTGTAGGGCTTGGTTTGTAAAGATTTTGGAGGTTATCAAACGGTTTGATAAAAATAGCCTCTGAAACCCTGTTTATAAACCGGTTTTTAGGTTTTATAAACCAACTGAGCCGATATGACCGGAGAGATCAAAATTGCCTTTTTAGGAAATTTTTTGCAGCAAAATTTGGTGTTTTAACTTCAAGACTTTGAGATTCATAATCATTAGGGGTTGAAACAGCAAGGTTATATCAACTATCACTTGTAAGTTTGCATAACATGAATTAGTTATATATAATATGTATAATTTACTTATCAGCACTGGTAGATTTTAGAACCCCTGTCATGAATCCTTTAGAACACTTAAAAATCATGATAACCTTGATAATAATTAATCTGTATAATTAGTATAGTATAGTCACACGCCCAAGCTCCCAATAGTTACTAGGATTAATCATGATCAATATGGCAATATTAGCCGAAAGTGGGTTGAGATCCTACTTGATAAGAAACAATATATTATAATAGACCTATAAGATATGATCAAACCTGCTAGCAGTATATACAAGCAATATTGGTGTAAAGTAAGTCTGGTTTGCTAGCTTCTTTCCTTTTTTGGGCGCTTACTAATATAAAACCATAAAACAGGGGGTTTCCAGCCAGGCTGTTTATAAACATATAAAACAGGGGTGTTTATAAACCGGTTTACAAACACCCCTATATAAACCAAGCCCTAGATGGTTGAGAAGGGTATGTTCGTCGTCCGCCCATGGTGTTTCTAGGAAGGGTAGCGGACGATCAAAGGGTTTGGCAATAGGTGCACAAAAAGTCGCTCTCTTTACTCGTGTCGTTACTAACAGTCTCCCCCAGCAAGCTCTTTATTTCATGTCGCATTATCGTTCTCCAGCAAGACTTTCTGTCGGACAGTCTCGGGACCCGTTATTTCTCCCACGTTGGGAAGACTGCCATTATTATCGCTTGTTGTCAAGTGCGTATCTGACTATCGCCTACTTCCATCCATTGACTGAATGCTTAAGTCCTCCCCGCCATCCATGGCGTATTCTCCCATGATCTTTCTTTCATCTCCGCAACGGCACGATGTTGGTGGTTGTGAAGCAGCCCGACGGCCTTCGGCAGCAAAATCCCGTACTTTGGCCAAGCGTCCGCGCCGTCGCGCCAATCTTCCTCGGTTCTTCGTCAAGCAAAACAGCATTGCTGCCGTCCAAATCCTCATCTTTCGCAACAACATCATCTCCGCGTCAGCGTAACGACAACCATGTTTTTGGTCATGGGGCTGGATATTCGACCGATGTCGACTAACTTTGACAGAGAGCAGTCGAGGGCAATTTGCGTCAAGCTCGTGGACCATCGCAGCTTTCTTAACTGCAATACATCTTCACCATAACTCCCTGTTCCCCTGTTCTCCCTCCCCCGTCCTCCCCGCCCACGCCTGCACCTTCCCCATGAAATCGGCGTCGACTTCCCAAAATGGCAAGTCACGTGCTCGCTCGCCGACCGGAAGACGTCAATATATCTCGCAGAAGGCGGCAGCTGGAGGTCTGTGGAGTGTATCTCCGCGTGCCGCATACTTGTCCCTTCCTACTCAATCCTTTTTGCGGCGCCATTCGAGGGGCAAGGCTGCTGTCGAGCGCCTTTTGTCTCGCAGCCATATGGGAGCACTGGCATGGGCGGCGATTCTTCGTCGAAGGGCAACATACACGTGGGCGGAGGTAATTGGGTGCGATGTAAAAGACGGGGGGAGGAGCTCGGCAGAGAGCTTTGAGCAGATTGGGGGAAGCAAAGCTTGTGCAAACTAGTACTAGGGGGAGTTGCCCATCGGAGGACCGTATTATACAGACGCAACAACATGCTGCGAAAAGGCGTATACATGCAAGCCGTTTTCGCTAGTCGCCAAACGAGATCAGGAAGGCGATTGCACGCTGCACGCTCTTTGAAAGCCCACCCCTCGCAACCATCAATCGCCCTGCCCAAGACGCTATCCATCCCGGCCCCGCCCACCACCCTTCCTCCTCCCAAGCACGTCTGCGTTGACGAGGACACGGGCAACAATAGTCGGAAAGATGTAGTGAGCGTCGCTCCATATGGGGGAGCACGAGATACACCCCACAGGGCAGTACTCTGCATGGTCGTCGAGATATATGGAGGGCTGTCGGCGCCGGAGGTCCGGCGTGGCACGTGATCTCGCCGATTTTGGCATGGATGGCCGGATGGACAACGAGCGCGGTGGTGGGTATGGGCAAAGAAGGCGGGTGATGCATCGGTGACATGGGATGAGAATTCGGAGGCAGAGGGGCGATTATGGGCAAGCTTCATGGCGCGCTGGCTTTGCGGTAGGTGAAGGACATTTAGTCGACTGCGTCCGCGAGGCGGGAAATCGTTCAGTGTAATCTTGACGAGAAGATGGTAGAGTGGGTGCTAGCAGGTCACTGGCAGAGTCTCCGGTCGGCAGAGGTATTTGGTTTGGAGAAGGGCGTCTGCGACTACCTCGCCGAAAAGCCTGTCGGCGAGGCCCTCCCTGCACATGAGCGGCATGAGCTGGCCCGTCTTGTATACTTGATGCGCGAGTAAAAGGAACCAAGCGCCCGTCGCGGAGGGAATGGAGGAGACGATAATGTCGTCAAGAGGGGAAGTTTGGCATAGGTCTGGTATTGGCAAGGTCAGAAGGCCCGCGAGTGTCGCTCGGGTGTGGCCACGTACCTCTCTCTGAGTCTAACCAGCGGTCATCCCGCACAGGCTCTGTCTCCCGCGGAGCTCAGACTCCTCCCGTTCTCAGTGAGCCGTCTTCAGGAATGTGCTGCGAAAACGCGTCAGCAACGCAGCCACAAGAATAGACAGCAAGCCAGACGTACTTGAGGCGACAGCCAACAACGACTACGTTGTCCAGCGGGCAGTGGGAAAGGAGGGGGAGAGAGGCAAGTGGATGGAAGTGGGGTGATGTGACGATGATGGCCAGGACATGGCAGTCGAGAAGAGAAGAGAATGATCTGTCATGCCCCTTCCTCGAAGACTCCCACTATGATTCATCTTCCCGCAGAACTCATTGACTCTATCGTCGACAACATTGCCCAAGAAGATACCGCGGCACTGAAAGCCCTCTGCCTCGTTGCATCCGTCTTCCTCGTGGCCTGTCAAAGACGGCTGCTCACAAACCTCTCCATCTCTTCTTCGAAACGGCCAGAAATTTGGGTGACTGGACCGGGATGGCGCAGCTCATCCGATGCTCTCGAGCACCTCACCCGTTCTCCCCATATCGCCACATATATCACTCATCTCACTATTTTAATCGACAAGGTGGACGATGAAGAGATGGCACTGGCAATGAGAGATACGACTGTGGGATCCGTCTTTCGGTGTCTGTCAGGGTTAAAAGAGGCATGCATACGGGGCTCCCCCGCATATGGGGCCAATTTTACTAGTATACCAGTGATTCACCCCGGTATTGTCCAGACTTTCCTCGACCTATATACCAGCCTGGGTCATCAACAACGCACGCGAAAATTGAAAGGTCTCTCCTTCATCGATCTCGAGGGCTTATCTGTGGAACTTGTGCGCAAAGCACTTGTTTCTGCTGACTCTCTCAGCTACATTCGTGTTCGGCTCTTGTCCGATTCAGATTCGGAATCACAGCACATGGATGACAACAACAAGAATAACAACAATTCCCACTCACCTCTACCCACTGGCACATCACTCACAATATCGTCTAGTTGGATCGTTCTTGACCTTTTGTGTCGTTTGGAATTTGCGCACCATTTCAGCTTCCTCCGCCATCTGACACTACAGAACATAGCAACTCAAAATCACCTCGAGATATGTTTCTTCGCCGCGCAAACGTTGGAGACGCTTCATCTGTCATTCGAACGTAAGGTTAACATTTAACCTCGCTTTCCTCTGCTCGCACAGCAAAAAAAAACAGATGCGTTTCTACGGGATACTCTTACCTTTCCTGTGGACTTCCCACGTCTGCGCCGGGTCCACCTATATATTGGAATGCTCTTCGAGGATGGAGAAGAGCGCGTCCCGTTATCCTCCATCGCCCTCCTCTCTCGTGCGACCGCCCTCACAGAACTCACTTTGCAGTTCACCGATTACTTTGGGATGCCCAACCAGTGGCAACCAATCTTTGATCCTGTGTCGTTCGCCACCCTCGACAACATGCTCGTTGTGCATCCAACTTTAACCGTGTTCCGCTACACTGTTAGGCTGGAATATGGTAACCCGGCCCGGGAGGATCCAAGTGAATACATCGACACACTTGATGGGAAGATGTGGCAGTTGATGCCCCGGGCAGCGGAGAAAGGCATCTTGCAGGTAGAGCAGGCAACTTCAGAAATATTGGCACCGTACTTGTTGTCGGAGTCGGATGCCCTCGTTGATTAGTATGTTTACTCGTGCTTTGCGTTGTGGGGACACAAACATTTAGGACACATTTGTGAATACATGGACAAATCGAATGGATACACGTCGCTAGAGCCATGATTTCGAAATGCCCTGGGGTCCGAATCAAAGCCAACAGGCTTTCAACTTCAACAGCCATCGTTGGTCCGAAAGGCTATATACGCGCCAAAATACCCCCAACGGATTTGGGCTGTCCCAGTCGGCTAGTGTCATGGAGCGGCCTGGGCGTTCCAGTACAAGGTAGGAGTGAAGGTAAGGCTAGCGGGGTCGACGCCCATTGTAGTCAAAGTACTCGCACAGCTCCGGTTTGAGGGCCGCCATAATCGACTGGCGCGGGATAGTCGCCACAAAAAAACGAGAACCGGGCTCAGACAACGACCCGCGGCGCTAAAAGCACCACAAACGCATCCACCCCCCCTCTCCATGACCACACCCCCTCCTCTCCGTCTCCCAGCAACTTTCCAGCTCCGCCACCACGCCCACGCCAAAGTCCACCCTCGAACAAAAACGCGTCCAACGGAGACCTTGTACCCGACTAGCATGGGCCAAAAGAAATAGACGCCATGTTTATGTAGTGCCGCAGCACGAGATCCGGTCGATAGAGCCACAGGATGCGCCATTAAAGAGTAGTATCGTGTCGTCAAATCGAGTGACGGGTCACGCGTGACGGCACGTGCGGAGATGTGGGAAGGGAGAATTGCGAGAATTGCAGTCGGCGCGGTGGGCTGAGGATACGGGATTGCCTCCGCATAGCGTCGATGAAGAGTATTGAAGCAGTATCAAAGACGTCGATGAAGAGTATTGAAGCAGTATCAAAGACTCTGGTTCGGCTTTCTCGTTCGTGGAGACAGCAAACCATTTTGGCTCGGAATCGTGTTTCTTCCCTCGGAGAGGCGACCAAGACTTGCAAATTGCTGAAGCGCGTGCCGCAAAAGTGGCCCAACAGATCCTCCTGGTCAACTTTCTTTCGGCGTTTGCAAGCAGGAAAAACACGGGCCGCAGGCTTTCGTATGGTCGTACATGCGAGTGGGCACATGATTCTCGTGCCGTTGGGCTTTGGCGGCAGCTGCGAAAGGAGTTAACGGGGCCCCGAAAGCAGGACCCAGATAACGCACCTTGTCGCTTTCTCCGCGGATATGGTCGTTCACGCACATTGCGCGGCTGGTCTCGATATTATTTTCGCGCCAGCCGGAAACATGCCCCACATTCTCTCGTCCATTTCTGGCCTCCAAATCCTCTAGTTTGCGAGAGAGTTGCCAAGGTAGTGTCTGTCTGCCGAGGAAGAAGTCAGAAAAGCGCCGCAAAACTTCAGTAGTTGTTACACACCTTCAGCAGGACCTTCCCCGTCCCGCGTCAGCAGAACTCCCAGCGCGCCAGCACATAGTCGTTCACGACAGCAATTTGTGTCCCAAGACCGTCTGAAAAGAGGACATGAGCCTCAATGCAAAAGCGCAAGCAAGGTGGAGACATACCTGCTTGGTAACCGCCTGACCCCGGTAGGCACCGTCCAGCGCTGAAGTAGAAGACCCCACAGCCATGAAGAGTATATAGTCCTGGTGGTTTTCGTGTGGTTGGCCCGTTACAGAAGCTACAGAAAAAAGTTAGCAAACGCGGGCTGACAGACCGGCTACACACCTTCCTGCTTCCCAGCCTGTGGCCGGAGCTTCTGGCTCGTCAGGCTCCTGCTCCTTCAAGCTCTAGGTACGCGCCTTGGCGCGGTCGCACAGGCGGGGCCTCGTTCAGCGTGTCAGCTCCACAATGGCTGGGGAGAATCTCGAAGCTTCTCGAATTCAGGCGCGACAGCGGCCGCGAGAGAGTACTCGTCCCACACCGTGACGATGACTCGCGTGCTCGACGAGAGGAGGTGTCCGAGCGGAGGCCAAGGCGTCGTCGTGGTGGAGGAAGAAGAAGAAGGAGATCAGAGGTCACATGCTCGGACCGGTGCCGATCTATCTTCTCTCTTCTCCACCACGACCATGTACCTTCCCCCTCGCTCGCCAGACACCCTCGGAGGGCCCTCCATGGCTCGTCCGCGTGCCAAAGCAGAGGTGCGTGGCCTTAGTAACGTGGCTTGTTATGTGCTGACCTGTCTTGCTAGTAGTTCTTGCCCGGGCGGCAGCGAATGCTGTCGTGGTTCTCCCTTCTAAGTTCTCCCACCATGTAAAGGCCAAGTACGTCGTCTTCAAACGCCTTACGCTGCTCCTCGTCGCCTAGCTGTTGAGGCTGAAGGCAAAACGGCTGCTTGGCCTTTCTGTGGGGATGAATCGGGGGGGAGGAGCCCGAAGTCTTGCACCCTAAGCTGACGCGGTGGAGATTGTGGGAGAGGGAACGCAGAGACTCGGGGGAGGAGCTGTCCCGTACGATGCTGGTGTCAACGGTGCGTGAACTGGCCCACACTTCTTCTCGATATGGTCCCTAACATTCATCCTCGCAGGCTCTCTCTTGACACACTCCATTCTCGTCCATATATTGCCACCTCCTCGGCATACAAAGGCCATTTCCTTGTACAGGAATCCGATAAGTATCTCCTCCAAACGACACAAGGACGCCGGCGGGAACAACTTCCCTATTTCAAGACCTTATCCGTGTCCAGCGCTGCGGCATACTCATAAGATCGTTGGGTTAATCACCAGTCGCGCATACACGCAGAGCTCTTGCTCTATTCGTCGATACGCCACCACGATTCTTCGTGTACTGCTCAGTAATCCCTGCCTCTCCGCACCTCCACCTTTACCACCATCTCCAGCCCACACCTCTCCGTCGCCATATCCCCCCGCCCGCCGCCAGCGTCCCCGTCCGTCGACGCCTCCCTCTCAAAAATCGGCCAGGTCACGTGCCACGCCGGGCCTCCGGTCCCGCCGCCGAAAAACCCTCGCTACCTCCTCATAACCAAGCACGATGTGTATCGATCTATCGAGCGTACCTCGTGCTGCCACGCATAGAGGGCTTTGCACTCAGATCTTTTCCCCAGCGTCCCGTCGTTGGGGACAGTTTCGGCGGGTGCCAAGCGTATGGTCGCTATGGTAGCAAGGGGAAAGGGCGGGCAGGAACGAGTGCGGTGGGTGTACAGCGTGCTTGGCGGGAGATTAGTGGTGCTGGGTGTCGGGACTTGAAGAGCAAACCGCGCGGAAACGCTTTGCGTTCCCCCGTTTGGTGCTTGGCGCGAGCGAGGCCTAAATAGCAGCCTTGTCGCCAGATATCTGCGACGATTCGCACTGGCCACAGATACTCTCGCAGCCCACCATGCGGCCAACGCAGTCGTTATCAAAATGCCTGACGCTTTTCGGGCCCGCGGTACTCGAATCCAGCCGCGTTCTCGTCGCTTAACTGCTGGCTGAAGGCAAACAGCCTCTTGGGTTTTTTGTGGCGGAGTAGGGTAAGCTGGCACGGTGGAGAATGTGGGACAGGCAACGCAGAGCTTGGGGGAGGAACTTTCCCGTCTGCCGCTGGCACTCAAGGTGCGTAAAGTCATGTGCTTCTTCTTGACGTCATCCATAATGTTCTTTCGTGCAGGCTCTCTTTCGACACGCTCCGTTCTTTAAGTATTGCCACCTCCTCGGCATAAGCCATGGTTTCGGAAGACCGTTTCCTCGTTCAAGATTCCGATATCTCCTCCAAACGACACAAGGACGCCGGCGGGGACAAACAGAGCTTATCCGCGTCCAACGCTGCAACATCGGATGGTCTTCACGGATGCCTGTAGTGCGTATCGCCAGTCGCCGCCCAGCGTCAGTCGCTAACAAAGCTTTCTAGTCTCATTCACATGCGCTACTCGCCACTCAACTAGTACTCTTGCAGCGCCGCCCTCGAGACTGCGTCTTGAGTGACGACAGCTGTGCCGATGGCGCGGACTGCATTCATTCCACAAATACAGGTAAGCATGTACTTTTTGTGCTTCTGTTGTTGTCTGAAACTTCTTCTAGCTCCCAGACGGCCACGACTTCCAGCTCAAGAAGACTATGGCTTCCGCGCCAGCCTAGGCCTTCATATATCCTTGCGGCTCTCCTTGCTCTGTTAACACCTGCACCATCTGGGGCCGACGTGGAGGCAGGCATGACAACTCCGCGGGCGAACGATTCTAGGTTAAGTCGTGGGACGACAACCTGCATACCAGGAGCTGCGGTTTTGGAGACTCGGAGTCGCGCGGATGTCGTGCTGGCGAGGGCGTAGGATCCGTTAAGGCGGTTGGGCCAGTCTTGGCTACGTTCAATGTCGTTCGCGTGGACTTTCGTGCTCTCAATACTTACTGTCCTTTGCTGTGCCCTTTCGCATGTGTATCGTCGATGTCGTCATTCTGTAAATCAAATCCTAGTAAACTCCGAGGACCATTGCAATGAAACAAATTTCTATATCTTCGTCCGCAGATAAATCTCTACTAACTTGGCTAAGGCACAAGGGCCCAACGGCAGTTCCCTCTCCTTTACCGAAGGCGCACGCTTGCCCAGTTGAATCTAAATCATTCCTATCAGCCAACTCTCGCAACACCAGCACTAAAAAAAGTGTACCCAGCCGGCGCGGTCACGCAGCCCGAGTTCTTCTTGCTGCTCGCCTGCGCGCCGTTCGCGCAGTTGTCGTGCTTTCCGCCCGACTCGAAGAAGTCGATCCCCTTGGCGCCGTTGAAGGAGATGCTGCGCGCGGTGCGGCCCTTGGCGAGGAGTACGCACTGGCCCGCTTTCGCCGCAGGCTGTGTCGCGATGACGGCGCCGGTGCAGCCCGCGCCGGCGTGCCATTTCAGGGTGATCGCGTTGGCGCTGCCGGCGGCGCAGGCGACTAGGAGGGAGGCGAAGAGGGCGGTGAATCGCATGGTGATGTTTCTATAGACTATAGCTGCGTCAATGCCTTGGTAAATCGTAAAGAAAATAGCAACTAACCTTGACGAGTGGAACTTGCAGTCGATGTCGCTTGTGTAAGCTGCCGCACGTATTTATGCAGCAGCAACTTGAGAGACTATGAGAATATTTGGGGGAGCGACCGCCGTCGAAATGTTACTGTTTTCCCTTGGATTGGCCAAGGGAAACAACGCCCGCCCGAAACGCTAACATCGAGGATCAGCATCAGCGGTCGTTGATTCCGGATCCTCTCAGGCTGCGTCAGTGGCCAGCACTGCGCCGCCGCCGCATCACACGCAAGCAAGATGCTGATTTATTTCCGCTGCAACGACCGCGTCGGTAAGTGAGCCGGCAACATCTGCTGAATCATTCTGGTAGCATCTCGATGGTTTAATTCATTGCGGGATCAGTAGGGGCAGCAGCATCGGATAGGGAGGACGCCAATGGTGTGGTTGGCGAAGTCGGGTTGTGCGGGCTTAAGACAAGCACTAGCGTCGACGCGCAGAAGAAGCAGAGAACGCAAGGACGATTTGGATGCTATTGCGATTGGCAGCGGTATGTAGATGAACACAAGTGCATTGCGGGCAACGAGCAGATGGGGAAATGAATAAGTGGCGTTGGGTATTGTGGTAGTGGCTGTTTTCTTGACCGAAGGCGACGGAACAAGCCTGAGCGCTGCCAGCCTGTAGTGCCCATAGCAAGGCAGAGCTTCACGAGCGTGGCGGGGCTGTGGATATGGAGGTGTTGTATGTTGCTGACTAGCCTTGAGCATGAAAGACACAGAAGGTAGTAAGCTTTACTCACCTCCATCCGTAGCTCGTCTAGGACAGCAAACTCTCTCTCCCAACCTCCAAGCTTCTAGTCTTTCTAGTCTGGCGCGCGAAGATCGTGTGCGCGTGTCAAGGGGCTGTTGCTAGTGAGTAATGCACTGCTTCACGTGGAAGTATTGGCGCGCACCCATCCTCTTAGGCCGAAGATTCCCGCGACGGAACTGTTTAGCCAGTCAAGCAGGGAATAAACATCGAAAGAACTTGAAACGCACACTGTTCCCTCGGGATCCACTGTCCCAGCGGCCTCCGAAGCCGTCCGAGCGAGTTGGTGTATCTGCTCGCCAGTTATAGCAGGAATGACTGCTCTGTTGTCGCAAACGGGGATGTCGGAACGGTGTGGAAGGGTGAATGCGGGTGGCGATCGTGCCCGCGGGACAGAGCTGTTACGATCGGAACAAGCTGGAAGGATATGTGTGAGCACAGACTTCCAATGGACAGCGCTTGGAATACACACCGACATTCAAGTTTGCGCCTCCGCCTCTCCACTCGTCCCGTCACCAACTCCCATGCGTCCCCCTCGGTGTTCTAGAGTTGGCTTGGAGGCACGTTTGATGATGCATGGAGAGCAAAAGGACGACGCGTGGGCATTCTGAGCTGCGGGATTGACCCGGGGTGGTGGAGATGAAGAAAGAGTGATGACGTGTGACTCCCGACGATCTTCGTTGACAACAACATCCACGACCGCAGAAACGACTTAGTAACTCTCTTGCCGTTCTTGTTTTCATCTTGGGCAGCTCTGTACTTGGGAGTTTCGATTCCCCCGTAAGTCCTGTTCCAACCTTTGCTTATCTATTCACCGCTGAACCGTCAAGATCGCTTCAGCTTTTTTGTCATGTCTGGCCGCGATGCCGCCCCGATGCTCTCGTTCTTCCGTGCCCCTCGCCGACCCGATCCTCCTCTTGACGGCCCTTCTATTTCTCAACTCAGAGACGAGGCAGAGCGGGTCAAAAAGACGAATCGCATCTCGAGAAATCTACAGGAGTGAAACCACCTGATTTAGGAAGCGACGGGTAGGAAAATCCTGGCAATCCCTTACCCGTACCCGTACCCGCACAGGTAAAACCCGCGTACCCGCACGGGTATGGCCTACCCATGCAGTTGCCTAAAGACGATTCATCCAAGGGGGCATCATGATGTGACGATCTGACCACAGGCTGGGTGGTTGGTCACCCTGGCAGGGCTTAAAAATATTTTCAGTGCATGATTATATTTTGGTTTTAGTAGGCTAATAATGGGTTGGGTAAATGCACAGTAGCCTCAGAATGCTTGCTTGACCATTGAATAGGCCAAGAATAGGCCTTGGAACTTGTTGGAAGCTTTTTGGAAGCTGTACCATAATCATAGGCCAAAGGCAAGTACATGTGCCAGCTCTATCAAGCTTCTCATTGGCCAAAAGCCACCATGTCAGAATGAAGTGCAATAGATTGTAAAGCCACAGTGGTCTGTCCTACCTGCCACAATCCTTGTCAGGGTTCGGGTCGGGCCAACGGGGCCCTATACGGCCCATCGGGCCCTCACCACCCTTAGAGCCCTAGGGCTTGACAAGCCCTCATAATTCACAAGCTCAAAGCAATGAGCAACAACACTAATATCCCAGAGAAGGGACATAATCACGGATCGCGCTTTAGTCAGCCATCAAGCCATCATGACCCGCCATCAGGGATCATGATGCGCCGCCGGACGCCCTTGACAGCGGGCCCAATCGGCCCTAGACAACCACAGGGTCCAGGAGGGAGCTCCTTACTGTTGCATTGCCAAACACTCCTTAGTGTCGACTTTGGCATGGCTCCTTTCCAGAGGAATGGTCCCTGGGCTCCTAGCGGAGCGACCAGGGACGACCAGAGACATCCCCTGCTCCCTTCTGATCGACCCTCAGCGGGCCCGATCGGCCCCTAGCGCCCACAGTATATAAAGACTAGAGTATTACTCCTGTACCTTAGGTTTAGCATTGAAGTCTCTTCCTTTGAACCCTACTCCGGCCTGGTCCCCTAGAGCGGGGTTGCTGCAACCATACCCCGGGAAAGGGGCGTCTAGACGACTTCCAACACTCCAGGCTAGCTTGCCTCATTGACCTGAGCCCTTGGTTGGGCTGGACAGCTCAGGCTCTTGTCTCTTATGTTCACCCTTGTCCTAGCCACTTCTTCTTGCTCTCTGGCCTCAAGCTCTGGGTTCCCCTGGTACGGGGTGATGGGAGGGTGCGGGCCCAATCGGGCGCGATCGGGCCCGCATGTCACGCGTCACACCGCGCCGTCACGCGGTGTCTAGGAGCCACAGCGACTCGTTGCTCCAGGAAAGGAGATATGTCGCCCCTTGGACTGGCAACCCTTCTCAAGCGCTCCAGGGGTCTCGGGCCCGCAGCCCCTGTTGCGGGGCGACTCCCCTCGACCCCCTGAACCGTCGGGCGTGACCGCGTTACGTCACGCCCCGCCCGAACGGCTTGTTCAACTGGCCCCGCCTACGCCTTGCCCTATGTCTTGGGCACTGACTCTACTAGGCAGCACTCTTTGGCTGTGGACTCGTTCCCCTCAGCAGGGGTAGGACACTCTATACGACTACTTGTATCCTGTGACACCGCTGTCACACAACGTGACAGCGGGGCGTCTCGAGTCGCCCCGAGCTGTCCCTACCCTGCTCTCTACTGCAGCAGTGGCACCATCTACGCTGCCTGGTTGCCGACCACCCAGCTATGGGGGTTGAACCATCTTTCCCACACTTGTCAGACTGGCAGGAGACCGTCACGTGGGCCCGGGCCGGCCCCGTTCCTGACAGAATGCTAAACCTCCTTTACTGTCCTTCTTTCAAGTGTGGGGCGCTCTCTGGAAAGCTCAAGTTCTTGGAGCATCCTTTCTGTGCTGAACGACCACTCTATGTGTCGGCACTTCGTCCAATGGGTTGAGGAGTCATCCCTTTTGTCTTGAAACTCCTGGGAGCCAACAAGTCTTGCTCCATTCGTCCTATGGGTTGAGGAGTCCGCCCCTTCGCGTTAAAACTCCTGGGAACAGGTCAAAACCTGCTCCACTTGTCCACTCCGGTTAAGGAGTTCTTCCATACCTTCTGCGCCTAACGACAAGACGAAACGACCCGATTCGAACCTTCGATCACCGACAACGACAAGGGACCGAATTAACGGGCCCTTTCGGTTCAAATCTACCCCGCTCGCCATACTCGCGGGCCCGACAATCCGTCTGTTTTGTTCTTGGTGTGCGTTCTTAGGAGACCTTGTGCGGCCCGACTCGAAGTCTGGCCTGTCAATCTACGGGCCCGATAACCCGTTGGTCCGAACACAAACCTTTGTTTCTTTCGCCCCTACTCGGCAAATTCTTTCCCTATACCCTCTTCTTTCGAATTCTCGTACCCTGGCGCCGAGGTAAGGAATATCGGCTCCCCCAGATGTCGACTTCTGGGCCGCAACTTCTGTCTGCCATGGGGCGTCCACTCCGGTGAACGGCGCTTGAGGCACGGGAAACGTTGAGTCCGTCCCCACCTCTATAGCAGCCAAGGAGAGTGGAAAACCACTCTGGGAGCGCTGGGGGAAGAAGCAGACCCAGGCTCTTTTCACTAGCAAGAGACCCGTCCCGTGCGCCCGAAACGTCACCCCTTTCCCAACCGTGGGAAATTTCGTTCAAAGGTGCTGGCCTTCAACCAGACAAACCCAAAACCATGCGAATTGATGTTCAAACCCTCATACGACTAAGATGATGGGATCGATGACCTGAATCGGCCCGATTCGGCCCACATCGGCCCGAATCGGCCTGACGGGCCCCGACGAACTGACGGGCCAAATCTGCATATACGAAAAAACAACGATGACCCCTGGAACGGGGTGTAGCTGCACAATGGCGGCGAAAACCGGGGACAATAACACCCCAAAATTGGAGGCTGGACAGAGGGATGGCTAGGTGTCGTCATAGCGACCCCATCGCCTCTGGGCTTCGACTGGCAACGAGATTGAACATTGCATATGCGCGGACGCACTGGACCGGACCGGGCTGAAACTACGCAAACAGGAGAAGCTACGAAAGGTCTAAAAACGCGCAGCCAATGCTCAGCATGTAATTGGAAGCCAGTGTTCGGAAAATGTGAACAAACCAAACACCCCGAGAAACCGGGGCGACCAAGCCACGCTGACTCGAGATGAGTCGTTCCAAGGGAGGGGGCGATGTCACGGATAAGACCCGGCCCGTCCGCTCCGGGCGCTGGTGTCGGGCCATCGGGCCCGTAGCACGCAGCACGTGATGACAGGGAACATGCGCCCCAGTGGGAGGAACGCACACGTGGGAAGCACGTGACCGAGAACGACGCGTCGAGCCGTCGCCGAGCCCAACTTCGACACAAGGCGATAGGGGAGGAGTGCTAGGAGGTTAGGAGTAGCGCCTGGCCCGCAAGGGATGTCCGATCGTCCCCTCTGCGGCTAGGAACGGGAGAAATGGGGGAGACTCAGAAGCGTCTGGATGTCCGATCATCCCTTGCAAAGGCGCGCCTGGGGCAACAGGCGATGGGGAGGAGTGCTGGGAGGTTAGGCGCAGCGCCTGGACCGGATGGGGTGTACGACCACCTCCGCCCGGCCAGGAACGGGGAACGGGGAGACCCAGGAGAGCGTCAGGATGTCTGATCATCCTTTGGGAGGACGCGACTGGGGCCTGGACGCGAGAGAGGAATCGACTAAGCCCTTCGACGAGAAGGCATCTACATGCGAATGACGAAATTTTTTTCTCAACAAATCGGAATTGAATACGGAAATCGGACGATAAAACTCGGGACGAGTTTCGCCTAGTGGGGGGTGATGTCAGGGTTGGGTCGGGCCAACGGGCCCTATACGGCCCATCGGGCCCTCACCACCCTTAGAGCCCTAGGGCTTGACAAGCCCTCATAATTCACAAGCTCAAAGCAATGAGCAACAACACTAATATCCCAGAGAAGGGACATAATCACGGATCGCGCTTTAGTCAGCCATCAAGCCATCATGACCCGCCATCAGGG